AGTTGTTTGGCTAATTTCTTTCTATTTATAGTAGAGACGGGGTCTCACTCTTGCTCAAGCTGGTCTCGAACTCCTGAGCTCAAGCAATCCTCCTGCCTCGGCCTCCCAGAGTGCTAGGATTACAGGCGTGAGCCATTGTGCCCCGCCTGAATATATCTAATTTCATCCTCTTTTGTTTGCTACCACAGTTTAGCCTTTGTCTTTTCTCACTTGGATTTCTGCAAGTGGCCCTAAATTGCCTCTGTCTTCCGTATCACCCTCATCTAAGCCATATTTCATCACTGCCAAAAAATAGTTTCGTAATAGACTTCTAATATACAAAGTTTATGTTATACGTCTGCTTAAACCATTTGATGGCTTCCAGTTGCCTTCAAAATGATAAAATCCAAACTCTTTAGCATAGGCCCTTCCCCACCCACATCCTACCTAATTTCTCTGGCCTTTCATCTATCTCTCCATTATATACACTTCAGCCACAATGGACTAGTAGTAACTAACAGTAGTTCTCCAAAAGTACCCTGTTGCTTCACAGATTTGTAATACCTTTTGTTATTTCCTCTAGATGGAACCCCTTCCTTTCCATCACTGTTGATGAACTCTTATTCAATTTTTTTTCAAGTCTTTGCATCTCCTAGAAAGCCTCTGCCTCTCTCTCCTGTCTTTTAGGTAGACCACCTCCACACTCCTGAAGAGCTCCATGTGTCTGTCTCCCTTGGCACTTTTGAGTGTTTACTTGTCTGTTCTTCCAGGAGACTATAAGTGGTGGCAGCTTTCTTTATCACTATGATTCAACGTCTTACACAGGGCCTGACATATCTAGGTCATTAAGTTTTTGCCAATTAAACACATAGAAAAATTAACATTTCCATGTTTTTTTTCTGGAAAAAGTACAACAAAGCAAATGTGCTAATATTTAAGTTTTAAATAAAGAATAAACTACAGTGGCCGGGCGCAGTGGCTCATGCCTGTAATCCTAGCTCTCTGGGAGGCCGAGGCGGGCGAATTATTTGAGCTCAGGAGCTCGAAACCAGCCTGAGCAAGAGCAAGACCCCGTCTCTACTAAAAATAGAAAGAAATTATCTGGACAACTAAAAATATATAGAAAAAATTAGCCGGGCATGGTGGCGCATGCCTGCAGTCCCAGCTACTCGGGAGGCTCAGGCAGAAGGATTGCTTGAGCCCAGGAGTTTGAGGTTGCTGTGAGCTAGGATGATGCCATGGCACTCTAGCAGGGGCAACACAGTGAGACTCTGTCTCAAAAAAAAAAAAAAAAAAAAGAATAAACTATAGCAGTATCAGGGTCTTAATAATTTAAAAGAGTAATATCACTACTAGTATTCAGTGTATTGCTTTTCTGCCATCTGCCTTAATTTCCACATTTTAGGTCTAAAATATTAATAATATTATCAAGCAAACACCTTCAGAAGATAAACTAGGATAAAAGATTAAGAAACTTGGTTGTAAAATGCTTTAATAAATCAGTTCCTGGTATAAAATCCCAAAAGATCTCAGAACATCTTATTTTTAGATATTTATAATAGTAAAAGTTATTGAATAATGTAATATAGCTCAGTTTTAGAGGAATAATGCAGATGTAGCTCATTTTTACATGGGACTCCCGATTTGAGGGCACTGGGAGGAAATTCCAGACCTAGGATTTGAAAATTATGAGAGGACACTAAGAGGGTTATAGAGTTGAAAACAAAGTATGGTGGAACTCATAATTTTCTTTATAATGTGTTGTACCTAAGCCGTTGACACAGAGACCCTATTCTTCATCATCAAGGTGATTAAAATAGCAATACTTAAATCCAAATTGAAATAAATTAAAAAGCTTCCAATTCCTGCATTAGACTAAAACCCAAATATTCAGCAAGATAAGATTACTTGCACACCTGACAGTTTATATATTATCTGACTCTTTAAAATAAAGGGAGCGGCCGGCGAGGTGGCTCATGCCTGTAATCCTAGCGCTCTGGGAGGTGGAGGCGGGAGGATCACTCAAGGTCAGGAGTTCGAGACCAGCCTGAACAAGAGTGAGACCCTGTCTCTACTAAAAAATAGAAAGAAATGATCTGGACAACAATATATATAGAAAAAATTTGCCGGGCATGGTGGCACATGACTGTAGTCCCAGCTACTTGGGAGGCTGAGGCAGGAGGATCGCTTGAGCCCAGGAGTTGGAGGTTGCTGTGAGCTAGGCTGATGCCACAGCACTCCAGCCCAGGCAACAGAGCCAGACTCTGTCTCAAAAAAAGAAAAAAAAAAAAAAAAACCAACAAAATAAAGGGAGCAAGAGAGAGAGAGAAAAGAGATATCTTTTGGACCTAACACAGAAAGCTATAAAATATATTATTAAGTAAGAAAAGCAATTTGTAAAATATAATTTACACAGTCTCATTTTTGTGAAAAATGTTTATATATATTTATAAGCACATATACATATTTTAAAAACCAGAAAGATCATCCAAAACTAACATTTATTACCCTGGAGGGGAGAAGGAAGGTCACCAAAGGGGATTTGCATTTTCTCTATTTCTGTCATATGTAAGTTTTTATAATAAACAACAAAAGTTTTGTAAAAAACAATAAAAGTATTAAATTTTTTCTTTTGTGGAAGAAATTCTGAGGGGGTAGGACAGTGTCACAAGGAACTTGTTTTAAATTAGCTCTCCCTTTTTACACACAAACTGCTCAAATCTGCTCTACCTCCTAATGAGTTATTCCATCCCTGAGAAATTCCCTAGTCAAGTAAATGGCAAGAACCCTCCTTCTGTGGACAGGGAAGAAGTCACGATTGAAATTCCTTACCTTCCTAGGACTTGACTCTTGGTCTGCAGTTGACTCTGCTGCTCCCTTTCTGAGTGAAGAGAGAGAAAGAAGGACCTATAGTTTTTTGTGTGGGGGGTGTGGGGGGAGGTCAAAACTGACTCAGCCATCTCACAGTAAGGTTTGGAATCCCAAATAATATCTGATCAGGAAGATTCCATGTGGACAACAAAGTTACACAGTCAAAATATTAAGGTCAAGATCCCTAAATCATCTGGCCCGAATAATCTAGATAATGAATTCATTTAATAATTTCTTATTTTCCAGTTCAGTTTGCCAGTGTAGATCTGGCCAGAGAGCGTTTGGAAGCAAGAGGAACAAGGATAAAGGAAGAGAACAATGGTCTCTGGGGAGCCCTTAAGAAAGGTGATATGGATGCTGAGACAGAAGATGTGGCCAGATGGAAATAAGTTTGGAGCCCTGGAGGAGCGTTTGCACTCTGACGGAGGCAACCCCTCCTCCCTGGGGGAACAGACGGGATGCAACTCAGAGAAGTGTGAGCAAGGGCTTGAGTGTCCTCGTGGCCCTACCACCTGAATTGAAGAGGGTGAGGATTTTGAGCTCTCTTTGAATCTCATCCCCTCTTTGAAACTCACATTCTTCCTTCTTCAGAAACCGCCCTTCCCAAATAAGCCTGCATGATTATAGTCAGTTTTTAGCAATTTAATACTTTATTAAAACTACATCCTTTTATTATCACCTTACTAAGTTGTAAATGTCTTTAGGGCAGAAATCATGTTTTTGTTTTTAAACATTTCCACAATGCCTAGTGTAGGGCTGGGAATGTAATAGGTGTTCGCTAAGTAATCGTGTGATGCAAAGGTTCCTGAAGTTTCCTGATCTTCTTTCTAACTTAGAAAGAGAACACACAGGTGGTTGAGTTGTGTCCCCACATGCTCAAATCAGAGGCCTGAGGTTCACCCGTACATGGTCTATTTTTTCTCTGAAGAAAGCTACTCTGAATGCAAATTCAGTCTCCAAGTGCTACAAAGGACAACTGGGAAAGCACAGACCCTTCTAAATCTCTTTTGGGGACTAGGCTGTGTGTGTGTGTGTGTGTGTGTGTGTGTGTATGTGTGTGTGTGAGTGAGTGTGCGTGGGTGGGGGGAGGTTGTGGTGTGGTGGGAGGGGACAGGCAAGAGGGAGGAAAGAGAGACTCCACGCAGTGATTATGTAGAAGGGATTTGCTATGTCTCTTCCCCCCACCCCCCTTCTTTCTTTGTCCTCTTTCTCCTGGTCCCCTTCTTCTGCATTTGTCTGGGAGGATCCTGGAGTGTTCTTTTGATCGACTCAATCTTTTTCTGGCACTTGAGTTCTGATTGGCTGAAGGACTTAGAGAGGAAAAAAAACTTTAATTAAGTAGATAATCTCTTCTTTGGACGTTTGGCAGCTCCATTTCACCTCCCCTTAACTCTGTTTGGGATCGCTTACACACCAAGGAAGTTGGGCTTTGAGAATTCCATCCCACTACCTCTGAGGAGAATCCTTCCCATCTTGCTTCTCTATCTCCCTATTTTTTAGAATTTTCTATGTCACTCCAGAGGATTATGTTTCTTATGAAGCCTTCTGTGTGCATCTTTCTTTTCACCTGTGTCCTCCAACTCAGCCGTACCTGGTAAGTAATCTGGACTCCTACCTGGAACTAGGAATAGGTAAGTGTGTGTAATATATTGGAGAAAACTCTTTTTCATTTCCAGAAATGTAGGAAACCTTGAGATCTCTCCTGGGAAAAACTATCCTATGGAATAGGGCTCTTCCTAAATTTGTAGCTAATTTCAGTAAATCTTTAGGACCCCTACCAAAAAAGGATTAAAAGATCGGGGGTTCCTATTTTTATAAATTGCTATACCATAAATATTCCAAGTGATTTGGGGGGAAATGTACAGTAGCCCTTCTTACCAAATCCTGATGTCAGTATTGCGGAGAAGAGGAGGTGTCTCAAAGCAGGTTCTAGTATGTGTTGAATCTGATCTTGAGATGAAGGCTGGAGACAAAATTCAGTGTGATCTTATTTTGTATTTTCTGACTTTAATTTTTTCAGAATACTCTAAGTAACTGCTCATAGTATCATTTCCTAGACATTAAAAATTTATTTGAACAACTGAGTTAGTATTGGGTTAACAAACATGGTTAAAACCAGATATTTTCAAAATCTAAACTTCTCTACAAATTTAATTTGTTCAATTTACAAAAATTTCTAAATTGCTCAGAAAATCAGATAATATATGTTAAAGTAAACTTATAAACTATAAAACATTGCACAAATGATAGAGAATATTATCACCATTCTCATTTAGCTCTTGGAAACCACATAAAGTATCTATACATCCAACTGTTAATAAGCAAACACACAATAACATACAGAATGCAGGTTGCTAGGCTGTTTGGAGTCTCTCTCCAATTCAGATATAAGCTCAGTCTCTCTCTTGATCAGTTCTCATTTTGACCATCTATTTATCCAAGATATAAACCTTGGATAAATAAACTGTTGAGGAAGCAAGAATAGGACTTTCTTTGCTAAAATAAGCTCCTTGTGCTAATTATTGAGAGTGTATTCTTATAAATGAGTATGGCCATCTTTATTGGAGTGTTGATAAGAAGTATGCCAACTTAATACAACTATTTGCAAGTTGATGTGATAATTGGCAACATTTCTGATTATAAACTGAACCACCAAATAATTGGTCCATTTTTAATTGGCATTTTAATTAAATAATTCAGTGTTCAAAAAAAAAATCTCTCTTCTCTCCCTTTCATGAGAACAAAAAGACAAAAGGGAGAGGAGACTATTTCAGAGCATTTCTACTGATGTTCATGGTATTCTTCAGCTGATTCAGTATCAGCAAAAGAGAAACACGAGATTCCTTTCCCTAGTCACCAGGGCGGTGTGAAGAATTGTTCTATAAAAAATACCTTTACTGTGTGTTCCCTTCCCTGCTGGAGGGGGTCATGTTCATTTCATTCCGATACTGACACAGCCACACTGAAAGGTGGCTGGGTTGCTTGTCTGTCCAAATTCAAGTGTCTGGATTCAAAAAGAAAAAGAAAAAAAGGGATGTGAAAGAAAGTTCTAATTTAAAAACAGGGTTTAAGAACCCCTTCTCGCTTTGCCTGACTTTGAGAAGAAAATGTACAAATCTCCTGTGTAATGGATTAGATTTTAATTGCTTTTTCCTATAAGCCGAAATTTGAATTAAACATGTATACTTTGCCAAGAATCTGGTTTTGGTAGCATTTGTAAAGTGATTTTTAACTTTAACATTAAATCTTGATTATTCTTGTAATGAAACTATCAGGGTTTTGCATAAGGTCATCTTCCCCTTTGTGCCATGCAGAGAAATTTGACCAAGCTTAGCCTTTGAAATGTTTCTCTTAATACTTCGTTATCAACCTTTTATGTAAGGACCTCAAAAGCATTTAACAAATAGAGAACCACAATTTCTGCTTGGCCGTTCAATTGTAGGCCTGTCTGAAATTACCGTCTGAAAGAGTCCATCAACAGAAACTCCTAGGCTTGAAAGGGAGAAAATAATGATGACATTCACCTATCATATGCAGTTTTACTCGGTAAATCAATACAAGATAATTTTTTTTAAAAATATTTTTTCACAGTTTCTTATTGTTGGGACAATTCTGAAGAGAATTATTCTTCTGTGACTTGAGAAAAATCTTTTCTTTGAATTTGTTTTTCTTAATTATTATGGCTCCAAAAAGAGAGAGAGAGAGAGAATGGGAATACATGATACATCCAAGCAAGGGTAATAATTATAATGGTGGTCAGAGATGAATCAGTTTGATTTTTCTTCCAATGCACTTACTCATCTACAACGAACAGGCCTAGAAAATGTTTTTTTCTTAACGGTTGACCCCATTTTACTCCAAATGATGTCTCATAATAATACTGGGTCTTGCCCAGTTCTGTCCATCTCTTACTCTCTCTCTCTCTCTCTCTGCCTAACTCAGTCACCAAATGAGAAAGATGCACTGGGACACAGAGCTCAACCATGGCTCTGCTCTCATTCTTCAACAGAGATTACTACCTCCGCATCTTTCTAAAGGTCTGTAGTAGGGGTTTAAACAGGGTTGCTTTCTCTTCTGCAGTAGGGTAAGCATTTATCTAAAATCTTTGAATTTTAAGACAGCTTTTAAAAAACATCATCCTTTGGTTCTCTACTTTCATGTTATTAGAGTAACCTTTTTATGGCTCTTGAAATTTCATCTGATAATGACACGTGAGACCCCTGATTAGCAAAGGGATCAGTTATTGTAGGAATCCATCTTCTCACCCATCATTGTGGATAGCCAAAATTATTGCTCTCCACATGTATGTGCTACTATTTTCAAATGTTTATTATAAACAATAAAATACAAACTCATTTAAAAATTATTGAATTCCTGATAGTTTTTGTCATGCTGAGTTTTTCCCACCAGCAGATACAAAAAGAACAAGTACAATCAAGTGAGCTTCCACTAAACTTTGTCACATTAGGAAGAGAGTCTCATCCTCGAAGAGGCTGGGAATCTCTGAAGTTAGAGAAATAAAAAGTAAGATGTGAGGAACTGCTTTGGAATCTAGAAAAAAATATGCCAATAAAAAAAGACTCACATATCCTGGACAGGCATGGTATCCTAGCACTTTGGGAGGCCAAAATGGGAGGATAACTTGAGGTCAGGAGTTTGAGACCAGCCTGGGCAACAGTCAGACCTCATCTCTACAAAAAATAAAAAAAATTATCCAGGCATGGTGGTGTATGCCTGTAGTACCAGACACTCGGGAGGCTGAGGGGAGAGGATCACTTGAGCCCAGGTGTTGGAGGCTGCAGTGAGCTATGATCATGCCACTGCACTCTACTGGACAACAGAGCAAGACCGTGTCTCAAAAAAAAAAAAAAAAGAAAAAAAAGACTCACATATCTATGAGCTTCCCTGGTCCATAAAAAAAGTGCAGGGAGCAACTCTGAGATGGACTAGATTAGCAGCTGCGCTGTAGGAAGGCCTGAGGGCCCAAAACATGACCAGAGAAGTTTAATTCCCTGTTTTATCACTGATTTCCTCAACAGCTTGAGCCCTATGTTTTTCCTTTCAGAGTCTCTATTTCTCCTGTTGTGAAAGACAATAATAACTATTATTATTATAATTATTATTGACAACAAAGGCTATGAGATCCTGGGAAGAGACACTTCGTTACAGCTCTTCTTATGAACTCAGTTTGTGCAAGTGATGAGGAGAATACTCTCAGGTGCACCTTCTTCTTCTTCTTTTTTTTTTTTGGCGGATAATATGACACAAAAAGGACCTCCTTTTTGTGATATTACATAGAGACAAATGAGGCATAAAAAAGGACCAGAAGAAAAGTAGTTTTAATCCAAACTCTCTCTCATCCATGGAAAGAGATTGTTTTTTTCTTTTTCCCAGCTGGGACAATTGGTTTAATGCTGCTCTATATTGGGCAATGCTATTCTCTCTTAGGATGATTAATAAAATTCCTTTTTCCTGGGCTCCAATTATTCTATTTCCATTAGAAAGGTAGAGGAGAATTCATATGGCTTAGAGAGTGGGGTCAATACAATTTTTCTTAAGATAAATCCTCATTTTCCAGAAAGCAGATTTTCTTTTTACTAGGTAAAGGATCAGGCTGGGTTAACAGTTGGGGGAAACTCTGAGCTTGGTTCACATAAATAACATTCCCCATTGCCTCCCGTTTGAAATATACCTATACTCCAAGGGCCTCTCAAAAGAAACTACCATCCACTTCGGACGGGCTCTCCAGTCTCATTATATGCCAAACTTTTATGGTTTGTTTTTCTCAATCTTTATTGTAAGCCTTTGTTATTGATCATTTTATTTCTCTGTATGCTTCTTAGGTTAGAGTTTTCTCCAAACCAAGAGTAAATCAGACCACAAGGGTTCATTTAGGTTCACCATTATCTAATCTGTCCAAATTCACTTTTTAATAGGTTGTTTTCTCAACTTCATCATCCTCTAGAACCAGCATATTATGAGGCTATGCTCCAGTAGTCCCAATAAGGCCTTATGAAAGGGACAATAGTTTGGTCTTTCTATGCAACTCTATAGATGAAATTCTTATATTCTCCAGACCAAACTTAAACCATCCTACACAAGTAGGAATTTCCTCTTCTTTCAAAACTGTAATCACTGTTTGCTGCCATAGATCTCAGTCCTTTTCCTGTACTCAGGCTCTTCAGGTTTACCATATTAGACTTTGAAGGTTGCATTCCATATCAATATCCAGGATAATAAATAATGAACCAATAAATTGTTCACATTATCCTGTCTGACATTTCTTTGCCTTAATCCTAGGCATCTGGTGGAGCCCAGGTTCTATAGATTATTGCTTCAGGAGCATTCTGTTTGTTTTTAAAATTTTATAATTTGGAAAATTTCTTTTTTTTTTACAAAGGTAGAGAGAACAGCATATATAATGAACCCCCCATTACTCAGCTTCAACTGTTATCAATCCTTAACCAATCATGTTTAATTTATACTTTCTGTAGCATTTTCAACTGCATATATTTCTCTTAGTCCAAATCTTCCAAATACTACCATGGTTCAAAATAGGAAGAGGAGAGCTAGGAAAAGGAATCTTCTATCCTG